GCCCACAATGGATTTATATTGTGTTGATACTCCAACCTAAAACTGAAAGCTATTTTTATCACAAGCGAGAGAAAGGTATCTTCTGTAACATTTTCCACAGTTTCTATGCATTCGTTTAATGAATATACGTATCCCGTGTACAAAAATTGCCTCCCTCACGTGATTGGTGCGTTCCAGGTTATTCGCTGATTGGTAGTTAGTGGTACTTAAAGTGTAACACAGATGAACACAGATCTCGGAATAACAGTAAACGCCATACATCAAGAATTAGAAAAAGTGGACAGATGGCGTGACACCTGGCAACTCCAGTTTAATTTCGAAAACTGTGGCTGGCTATGCATAGGTTGCAACAATTTAGAACTTGACCTGACAATTCAGGGCCATGCACTCTTACGACTGGAATCTATATTGGACCTAGGACTAAAATACTCACATGACTTATCATTTTCTGAACATATTTCCAAACAAGTGTCAAAGTCACGCAGACTTATTGGCTTTCTACTCAGGAACTTTTACAGAAATGAGTCCAGAATTCTGTTGTACAAGGTTTGTGTGCGTCCTTTATTTGATTACTGTTCATTCATGTACAGTAGTATACGCATAGAGGACAAATTGAAAGTCGAGGGAGTGCAGAGGTACTTCACCTCAAAATTACTCAGAACCGAAAATGGTGCGAACTACTTCACTATATGTGACACCCTAGGATTAGAGACACTATGGCTAAGACGCCTGAGACTAAACTTAACACTATACTATAAGCATCTAAACCACTTAGTTTTTACCTCTACTAATGGCAATCGATTTTCAGATGACAGTGGCTACAAACTAAGACACACTAAGGGTACAGTAGCTATCAAACAATGTAAAACAGCCACCAGGCAAAAGTTTTATTTGATTAGATATGCACAGATATGGAATAAACTACCAATGGAAAAGAGTCAAGCAGGTACATTGGCCTCATTCAAAAAAGAGCTTAACGACAAACTACACGAGTTTGCAAACGATAGTAGTCCTAGTTCCTATCTGAGAGCCTCCGAAATAATAGGTCCATTTAATATATAAGCTCAAATACTACACCTGTTGTTTTTGCCTATATTTATAATTTTAGATAAAACATTAACGATTAAGATACTTACCCTCAAACAGACAAGAAGTTTCGTTTGTAAAACTTCTACCCAACACAATAAGTGGAATAAAATGGACATAAACCGACAACATGAAAAAGATAGAACTCACCACAACATCACATGGACAGATGTACGCTCGTCGGACATCATATATGCCTCACCAACTACAACCGAACATTCCTGAGATAATGTGATGAACTTATATCCGTAATGTTGCTGAGCAGTCAATACCCACAACTCCTGTCGTAACAACCAAAATTCAAAAACCTTCCTCACGAGAAGTAAATACACACAAACAGTAGAAATCCATTGATTAATCCGTCTACAGCTTATATATTTTACTCCAAACAAAGACATTGCAGATCAAATGAGATAAACATATCACTGATTTAAAATAACACATCAATGAACTATAAATCAAGGATTCTGTACACAACAAAATTATGTATGAAAACTGACTTCAAGCTTTATTCTTTTTCCCAGGTACTTATAGCCCATCCACCAAAGACCTGGTTTTTTTGCTAATGCGAAGACAATACTTCTGTATTTCCTGATGTGTTGCACTCACCGACAATCTAGCGGATTTTTCCAACTATGCACAGAAACGATTGTACATAAGTGAAAAGGATGTTTTATACAATTGGGGGTGACTCTAAAGAATAGCGGCCCAAACCGAAACGATTTTCGAACCAAAAAGTGACCCTGAGCAAGGAATCAGCTGACTGTATCATTTTCGGAAGTAATCATGAATGTTTTCGATTACTGTTTGGATAACGGACTCATAGCTTTGTCGAAAATTTGCCAGTGCGGAGGAGGTATGCATATACAAATATAAGCAGAGGCCATTGATGGCTTTGTATACAGATGTATTGAGTGCCGAAGGAGGAAATCGGTTCGAGATGGTTTGTCGTTGTTATTTAGTTTACAGATCCCTTAGGAACTTTTCTCTCAAGGTCTAAACTACCTTTGACGAAAATTGTAATGATCTGTAACTTCTGGGTCCTGAAAAGAGCAGTCACAGCTACAGCTTATGAAACAGAAAATTCAGAGGTGTCAGCAGTGCAATGGTTAAACTACTGCAGAGATGTTTCCTCCTGAAAAATGGACACTTTGACTCAAGTTCTCGGAGGAGTCGCAGCATAGTCCATATCGATGAGACTGTACTTATAAAAAGGAAATACAACCGTGGGAGATTACAAGCAAACCAGCAGTGGATACTGGGTATCTACGACACGACACTGCGCAAAGGGTATATAGAAGCGATTCCCAGTCGCAGTGCAGCAGTATTAGTGCCTATTATTAAGCGTTTGGTGTTGCCGGGGACGACTATTCATACAGATGAATGGAGCGGATACCGTCAATTATCGAATCATGGGTACATTCATCATGTTGTTAATCATACGAACGGTTTCCGGAATCCTTTAGATGGAACCCACACCAGTTCCATTGAAAGTTTTAGGAGTCGTCTAAAAAGACGTATAAGAGCGGTTAATGGATCGAGAAATCCCATGATTTACAGTTGCCTGGATGAATTTATGTACCGAAACTGGTTTCATAGGACTATGAAGACTCCCATGAGAAACTGGGAGGTTTTTTTAAGACATATACGAAGCGCCATCCTTTGTAACTGTTTATTATGATTGCATTACTTTTATATAAACCGTTTTTTACAATTATGCGCCTTCCTTTTTGAGCCTTTTCATTGGCCGAAGTTGTCCCTGTCAAGGTCATTTTTGCGTTAAAAGGTCGTTTCGGTTAGGGCCGCTATTCCTTAGAGTCACCCAATTGGGATTAACATTTATCAAGTGTATGTATAATCTCCAGTGTACATGTTGAACATATTTTGCTATCGAGTGTAAATTGTGACTGAATAACATGGTCCTATTTCTGTAACAATTTGATGATGCCTGTAAACTGGCGTCCCTCATGTACTGTATCATGGGAATTAACTTATTTACTTATCTATTTATAAAAGAAATAATACAGCAATAAATCACAATATTACTTCTGACACTTTTTTAAACTTCCTTCTGAACAGCGAACGATGAGACGAGTGAGGATATAGGTTGTGCGAGTTATATTTTCCGCGACTCAGTTTTTTTCGTCTTTCATTGGCTAGAATGGTGGCGGTCAATTGCAGTTTGAATTGTCCTTGGGTGCGTGCTGTCGGGTGCTGTATTTGCGTGGTTGTGTTAGCGTCGTTTTCCAGCATATGTGATTACTATAAACGTGTATTAGACTATTGTAACGCTTGGTTTTTCTTTGTTTGTGCATGTACTAGGCTTTACTTGTCGTACAATTCGTTGTTTGGTCTATTGGTTGCTTGCGATGTCAACGAACCGGTGGGTTCTTGTGTTTTTCTGTAATTTAGGTTATACGTGCGGTATTTTCTTGATGGTTATCGATCATCCCTGTATTTCAATGTTGTTTTTTTACGATTTATCTTGGAATAGTTGTGACATAGATGGATCCTAATTGCTAATTGTATTTTAGTCCGTTGCAGGTAGTCCATTCGAGTGACAGGAGCACAGATTTAAGTGGAATTTTTGCTGAATACATACTTGGAAGGCATTTCTTCAGCTGGGATGAATTTGAGAAGTCATTAGCAGAATTTCAAAAAGTGAGGAAGTCATTTAATGCTAACAGTGTAGTTATCCTACACTCACTATGTTCATAATTGCAGCAAAACGATACGGGATGACAGGTTTAAGTACGCTTATGTTGGTTTTAAATGCACTTTTGGAGTGAATCGTACAAGACCTGGATTGAAATTGAAAAACAAGTCGTAAGAAGAAGTGTAATATGATTTCATGGATATTTCAGGTCTAAATGTTGCAATTGCTCGTCTTCATTTCGCGTGGTTTTTCATTATAGTGAATACATAATTGCTTCCCACAATATGGTGCATAACCATCCATGCAGCAGGGTGTACATGCAGAATGACCCATGGTATAGACGACTAACAGTTGAAGAGAAAGAAAATATTGAACCACTTCTTCAGCAATCCCACTCGTCCGATGAAATAATAATACATGTTCAGGAGAGGTACAACAAGGATATAACTCGCATTGACGTTAAAAATATGAAAGCCGCAGTGAATAAAGGTAACGTTGACGTACTTGTTACATACTTAAGGTATTTCGAGTCGTCGTGACATTTTTGAATTCCTAAAATCCCGTGGGAAGTTAATGGAGTATTACTCCGATGAACCGTTCAGGAATTTATTCGTAGACAAGAAATCCCATTGTGAAGAATTATTTATGCCGTCTAGTGCAGTGTAAAAGGAGATCAGAGTAATGCCTCTATTGTTCTCATTTTGCAGATTTAATTTCTACTTTAGAGTTATTAGCAGATTGGATGCTAATGTCAGTCAATATCTACAACGTCGTTGGATGCATCGACGACAATTGTGGGCAGCATGTTTCAGAGGTAACGTGCTGACTTTTGGGAACTATACAAATAATCGAGTCGAGAGTTCCCACAAGCAGATGAAACGGTATTTGCAAAGATCTGATAGTCTGCATCAAAGTATGCTAAAGGTGTTTAAATGGCATAAACGAATTTTTTCAAGAATACAGCAAGAAGCGAATATTGCTCAATCACGATGCTTCACGTATCCCTGTTCACAACGTTCACTCCCAATTATACGATTGCTGACGCCTTACGCTGCGAGGAAGGTTATCCGTGAATACCAAAGGCGAAGATGGGCTGTTGTTGACGTTGAATCCTTCGATTATGTATTCTTCAACGAAAATGGGAATACAGTGCAGGTTGATCTGAGTGCTTGCACCTGCACGTGCTTTACATTTCAGACCTGTCGGTACCTCTGCCGACATTTGCTTTTGGTCCACTTCCGAAAGCCGTATTTCACAGGTATATTATGACTCCGTTTTTAATGTATGTCGTGCGAAACTTGATTAATTATTGTTCTTATATACGGAAAGTTGTACTTTTTATTAACCTATTCGTGTGTACATTGCCTTAATTGGAAACAAGACAGAAGCACTACCATCATTGCACGTGTAATATTCAGTTCATAGTTACCTTTACGTTTTTTGTTTCACCTTTTGTAGTTAACCATGTGATGCAGAATTGCAAACAATGGGCATGGTCACGCAACTTGTTCGCATCTCAATGCACGTCAGCTGTTGTCCCTCAAAATCAAAGTGGCCAAATCGAACCCTATATAAGTATTGTGGCTAAGGGCTTGAGGAAAATGAATGACAAATTTGGAGATGTGTTTGCCAGGAATTATGCTATAGAAGTAATCGCAGGAATCAATCGTACTCTGAATATGTAAATAAACTGAATTTGTATCATAATTAAAATATAATTTTCATGTCAATCTTATTGTCTTTCAATTCATGTGTTCCCTTCTTGAGCACGGCATGCTAGACCGGTGCTCTCTAGGACTTTAACTATACGTAAGTGTAATTGCGTAGAAACGATGTCGGTCGTCATACGTTTTAAATTATAATTATTTTAGTGAAGTTACCTGGTTACGTCTCATAGTCATATAGAAGTCTTTAGGGACAAATGACAATAGTAGGCATAACTTAGGCACTGCATTCCAGTTCCAGTTCTTAAACGGTTACGTGTATTCTAAAGTATTGCATTACTAATGTTTCACTTAAAGCGTGATGTCAATCCATATGACTAAGGCTGTTAACATGTAGCGTAAATTGAAGTCTACACGAGACAAATTATTGAATTCGTTCAGCTTTAGCACTCGTAGTTACATTTACCTTACACTAAATTATGCCACCAATTACTTCGTCAGGTATCATTAATAAGTCATGCCTGCATCTAGTCATCATGACAAATATATCTACGCTCGGATAGAATAAGAAAGGTCTGGTAAGCAGGATGTTAAATGTATTTAACGAAAAATAATAACAAGCAAATGTCTTTACGCAGTTGTTTGTCGTAATAATTTGGGCAATGTCGGATCTCTGTGACCGGGTTGACTTACGTTACCGGATATCTACAAATAAGTAAACAAAGTGTTTTTTAAATCACTGAAGTAAGAAACCAGTAATATCAGAGTTAAACACTTCAGATTTGCCTACCTTTGCTGAAAATGGTTCATTCTCCTTTCTCATTCTTTGGTAATGACATCATTCTTCTGGGGTTTTCACTGCCACACACATTATTCCTCTTCTAAAGGATAGCAGCAAGCATATAGTAATAATTTCATATTTCGTATAAACCAATGTTTACAAAGAATGCATGTCATTTCTACAGGCGCAATAAGTTATGTTATAAACTGCAATCGTGAAGTATCATAAATTATAAGAGTTAAATTGTAAACCCTTAACAATGAACACCGTACATTTGGTTAAGTGCTATGTCCTTGGAATGTGAGTATACATTTGCAATGTTTAATGCCAACCATATTGGTGTAAACATAGAAAATATGACGTTTTCCATGAAAATACAGCTTTGTTCAAACACTGGTGTTGTTGTGTTTCTAATAAAAGCAAATAGACTGTAAGCAAGCAACTAATAGGCACAAAGAGTAAGTTTCAGCTTTAATAAAGGCATATCCAGTTAACATAAAATGAAGTGTAATAGTGCACAAATGAAAAGACCATAGTGAAGTAGATAAGTGATATTTCAGTGAGAGGTAAATTGAAAGATCTGCAACCTTACAATTTGGAAGACAACCTGACATGTAAGATCTCTCACAAATTTCTATAGGGCCTGTGGGGTACCATGGATGGTTTGGCGTCAATCGCAGCTTTGAAAGGATGACTTACAAATGCAAAAGGTAACAACCAACGAAACTGCAGTAGTATTTTCTAGCTGTTCAGCATTTTTTCCTTTGATGCAGTTTCTTATCAACAGTTTGCAGTATTCACAACATCACAAGTTGCTTACAGATAACTTGTTTAATAATAACTGCTTTAAATATATCAGCCATAAGTGCATCTTCTACATCTTTCATAGCCACAATTAAGTCATTAAGGATCTCAGATTATCTTAGTGATGTGAAGCAAAATAATTTTTAAGATTGATATAACCTATGTAACAGGTGTAGTAGTTGTATGACACAGCCGCTAGCTACTAATCAACAGAAATCTGGTACTAATTTTAAGTACTCTGATATTTGAGAAGGACTATTTATACTATTCTTCCAGACACAATGAACACTGATGTCAATATACTCTGATGCCATTTCATGCACTGAGCAATTAAGGCCTTGTGAAATTTCATGTGCAAATGTCAATTAAACTATTTTTACATCTTCGCCCAAGCACTTTTAACTAGGAACTTCATCAAAATAGATATAATCACCAGGAAATTCAGCAGCCTATCTCATTCATCGCATAATGTCGTCGATGTTTTATGAGTTATCCATTGTCATCCCGGATGATAACAGAAAAGTTTAACATGTTCAAAGCACACATCTAACCTATGTCTGCATGCTATTTCTCTTTCATAGGCCAGATTCTCATAGATTCACTGGAATGACAACAGCCATTGCCTGCAGTATATTTACAACCTTAATTCTGAAACAGCTCGCAAAAAAACCCTCAACGCACTATAATGCAAATAATAGTCTTTCTATGCGAACTCTCTTAAAAAGGATTACTTCTTCATTGATAATTCGTCCGAGCTATAATATACAATTTTACGCTCTACTAAGAACAAAATGCAGCAAAATACTGCCATCCGGCTACAGAAGTCTAAAACTAGTCAAATATAATCTATTTCCAACAAAAATAGGTGATTATAACGTCTGTTGACGTGAGCGCGGTAACCGATGGCATTGCGCGATAACACCTGGTGTCGGCCTATATCCCCACTCCGATGAGACGATGACTCTCAGATTGATGACCCGCGAAAATTATGGCGAAGTTTGGTTTGAGCAAACAACCATGAATTGATCGTTCAGTCTTCAACTACATTGACAAATGTGTTGACGACTAAAAGTAACAACTAAAGAGCAAATGAATGAAAATACATGGTGATCTGGGGACTAAGACAAGGTGAGGCATGGGAGAGGCGAATTTAGCTGAAACTCACTGCTAGAGTGAGCTATGTCAGAATTACATCTGAGTTCGGTTATTGGGATAGTTCATTTGGACACAGACCTTATGTTACTGCTTGATTATCCAGTTACTACTTAAACATCTTCTACGTTAAGAAGACTCGGGGAGATCTGGATTTCGCAGATGATACCTGCCTGATGTCACACAAGCTCGAAGACTTACAGGCGAAAACCAACCAACTGGCTGAGGAAGGCGGCATCGAAGACAGGTTCTCAAATGAACATAGCGAAGATGGAGGTGATGAAGATAATCAACGAACCACAACAACAACCGGCACTAGTAGCTATGAACGGGAGAGATTTTACAAAGGTTAACTCTTGTACTTATCTGGGAGGAATCATTTCAACTACAGGTGCAATTGACGAAAATGTTAAAGTCAACCAGAATCGGGAAGGTAGAATACGTTTTCATCAACCTGAAACCATTTGGGAAATCTTCTGCACTCCGCCTCAGCATAAAGGACAAAATTCAGATTTTCAACACCAATCTTAAGTCAGCCCTTTTGTACGGGTTAGAGACTTGCACTGCGTACCACACAAAGGATTTCCAAAAGGTTGCAGACTTTCATCAACGGCTACCTTCTCTGACCCCGTACAAAATATCGAATGACCAGAAAGAATCAGCAACAAGAAACTCTGGCTGTAAACAAAACAAAAAGGATCCGATTGTTCAACAAAATTTAGGATAAAATAGAGGTGAATTGATCTGGCATAAATCGAGGAGGCCATCGAATGACATCGCACGCCAGGCCCTCTAGTGTAATCCCGATGGGAAGCGACGAGTAAGTCGTCCTAGGTTGACGTGGAGGAGAGCGTGTGAGGAAGAGATCAGAGAGTTTGCGCAATCGTGGGCCTAGCTGAAGAGGATGGCAGAAAAGAGAACAGAGTGGAGATACGTTGATGAGGTCCTATGTTACACTGGGTACCCAAAGGAACAATCGTAATATAATATTAATAACGAGCAGTAGCTATCAGAAGCAGCTCTAGGGCGGCAAACTCAGGTGAAAAAGAAGTAGGAAGACACTCGATTCTTGCTGTAAGTATGCCTCGTGATTAGTATGCCCCCAGATTTAAGTGGGAGGATCCCTTCACAATTTCTCAGTGTTAAATAATAATATATGTTTCGTAGAGACGGGTAAGTTTACATGAAGTGCATTCCATTTTCACAGGCACGATCAATTATGTTACGAAATACAATTGTGAATTAGCATACATTATCACTTTTTAAAAGTTCAAATTGTTGAATTATAGTACAAGCAATCAGAACAGATTCCTATAACTGTTGATCTGTAAATCTTTCACGAAGTTCTCCACTGAAGTTGAGTGACAACCCAAACTCCGTTCCATTTCCTGATGATATTTATGGCCCATCGGTAAACAACATATATTTGAGTGAGTGCTATGACCCCACGTGCTTGAACGCTATTTCAGGAAGAGGAGAAAGTCCTGCGCAGCTGCAAAACAGTATAAAATGCAATCACGAATAATGCATTATTGGAAGTATGTTTACAAGAAAAATACAAGGATAAGTGCTTGAACTGATAGTACACATTGGCAATGTATGATGCTAACCATATTGGTCTTACCATGGAAAACTATGATGTTTTCTATGAAAATATAGTCATTCTCATAGATGACTGTTGCTGTTATGTTTTTTATCATCATAGCAACCGAACTTTATGCGAGAGAAGAGTATGAATGAGAAAATAAGTAAATTTCAGGTTTACTAAAGGCCTAGGGAGTTAAGATAAAGTAGAGTATAATAGTAATCAGATAGAAGGATCGTAGTGACGTATATAAGTGACATTTCAGAGAGAAGTGGCTTCAAGG